ATGCCACACATTGTTTGCCACACATTTCAAAGGGTTTCACACCATTGAGGGGCAGATCTCTTGACGTCATGATCACAATCCAAGTGTTAGGGTATTGAGTGGAAAAACTCAAAACTTAAAAACTTAAAAACTGAAAAAACTTTTGATATCAAAACGCAATAATAAACTACAGCCACTGACTTGTGAGCCTTCTCTGACATCCCTCTACATTCACATCGCATACCTAATCGCCATATCCTGACCCAAACCGTACATTAATAACACTTAACTCGTGCTATACACCCTATAGCATACGTGTCCGCACACTAACCGACCAATTAAACTGGTTGTCGATTTTAGGGTGCCTTTACGTACCGAACGTCGAGGTAACTCAAAATGTGCGGAGCGGACAGATCTACCGGACGGGCCATATATGACGGATATACAGATCCTGACAACCAAAACTTACGTCGGCATAATTGGATTTAAAATTAACTGGATGATTATATTTTACATCTGACTTCAGCATGTTGAAGCCAGATATTGTACAAATTTTGTGATGTATATAAAGTTATAATTAATCAACTTGGTATATTTTTAATTTAAAGTTGTTTTAACAACAAATTTCTCATAGGAAATGAATGGAGAAAAATTCAATTTATTAAATTTTTAATTTCAATATAAACGAAATAACAAATAATTTGATAGGCATTAAAAAATGAAATACAATTAGAAATTAATAACTTGTATCTCCACCTCCTGCAGTAATTACTTCTCTCATTCTATTAGGCATTGATCGCAACAAATTCCAGAAATATTCCCGGTAACTGACATTTTTCAATTTGTTATGGGCAGCCAATATTGCCTCCCATAACTGCTCCTGCGATACAACGACTGGCCTTTCATTGCGAACCAATGCCTTGATCATTGCGCCGACATTTTCAACCGGATTTAAATCTGGAGAATTTAAAAAAAAAATTTAAAAAATAGGGGAGGGCGGTGTTTGGAAGTGTGGGAATAGGGGAGGGCGGTGTTTGGAAGTGTGGGAATAAGGAGGGTCGATGTGGTAAAGGGTGGGTCTAAGTAACATTTATTATATTTGTATAAATTAATTAAATACCATGTTGTCTAAGCCGCCGTTGCAATGTCTTATCACTTGCGTCACTTAGACGTTGATTGTCAGCGATTCCAGGCAATTGTCTCAATTCATCCATACTTGACCATTGATTTTCATAATCAATTGCCCTTAATGTCTGGTCGTCCTGAGGTGTGGTTATGGGATGTGAGTATTGATTGGGATCATGTGGTAGTCAGGAACTGCTCCTCTGAGTCATCGATCGCACAGCACATCCTATAAGTTGGTTCACTTATCTGAATGTCTATAATATTAATTTGAAATATAATTATTTAAATATTATAATTATTTTTTATATTTACCCGGGTGATTCCTTAATTGTCGAGGTGTCGCCCCTTTGGCTCTCAATTTAATAAATTTTCTAAATTTAAATTCTCGGTCTTTTGCATTAAAAGGCATTTTAATTAAATGAATTGCACTTTATTTGCCAATTATCACACAACACACAGATTACATAAATGTAAACAAACAATATGTTGCTCACCAATAAATAACGTCATAGTATTCAAGTAAACATATTCAACCAATTAATGATTTCATATATTAATAAATAAATTATGTAAAAATTTTATATTGATTTCCTATGAGAAATTTGTTGCTTAAACAACTTTTAATTAAAAATATACCAAGTTAATTTATTATAACTTTATATACATCATAAAATTTGTACAATATCTGGCTTCAACATGCTGAAGTCAGATGTAAAATATAATCATCCAGTTAATTTTAAATCCAATTATGCCGACGTAAGTTTTGGTTGTCAGGATCTGTATACGATAAGACTGGACGGACGGCAGCACTTGGACTACACTAAGACCTCCTATTGTATAGGTTTTGTTGTTATTTTGAGGACAGCACTCGTCACTCACGGATGCCTTTTCATCGCACTTATAGTCTGTGCGCCACTTATAGACACCCATAACGATGATGGAGGCGAAGATGAGGGCACCGCCGATAAAACTGGTAGTTAGTATTGATATATGAAGACTATGTATATGTTAATGCACAAACATGGTAATTCATGGACACTACGTACCGGTCATTGCAATGATAAGCCATACGGTGCCAGTGGAGGGCCACTTGTACTCGTCGAGCACCCACAGGGAGACCACTCCCAGGCATACCGTTTCCAACGAGAACCAGAATATGACTACCGGTGCCGGAGTTTTATGCAACTTTTGCATTACTGACATTGATATGACTAGTTTTACTAGCTTTGAATTTCTTAAATATTTAATTGACAGTAATTTAATTTTATAATTAAATGTTCAATATCATGGTATTTATAAAACGTATTTTATTCTTAATTAGTGATCACAACCTGTTTTTGAATTTCATTTGCATTGTATCTGTAGTTTTAAACTATAATGATAAAATTATCATTATTAATAGTATTGATGCAAATGATTGCTCCATTGGATGGGTTTTTAAACCAAGATGTGATATTGAGTCCAGTGAAACAACTAGCTGCTACTACCTTATTAAATCCAAATTTGAATCAACTTTCACCACTTTTAATCATTAAGTCTTTCAACCCATTGTCGGTGTTGTTTGAGTCCAATTCATTACACAATGAGACTAATAAGCCATTTGTTCCCGAATACTATCCCTCGGAGTTTTTTGCCACCGGATATATAAATCACTTCGGGTTTTCAAAATCGGGTCAACCCGTTCACGGGAAAGTAGGGCGTTATATGCGTTTAACTAATAGCAAAGCTATTGACAAATTATACAGGCAATTTATTGTGCACACAACCGCTGATTTTATGCGCAAAAATAAAAATGGCATGTTGTATTATAGCTACCTTAATATGAAACCGGAAAATTTTATATTATGTAAGCACGATTAAATAAAATTACACACAGTATATTGTAATGCAATTAATTAGCCTATTTATTAACTTTGTTTCAAACATAATAGCTTCTTGGTACGATATGGCTGTTATGATTAATAAACATACTTTATTTTAGAACCCATATGTAGGTTTCACATACACTGTACACATGTATACAGACGTGTACAAATGTATACATAGGGGCAGACTGTCCCTCGAATATGTGTGTAAAGTATGTATGTGTACAGTGTATGTGAAACGTACATATGGGTTCTAAAAAAATCATTGTTAATAAACCGGGTTTGTTTAGAGATCATGTGGGCATTCGATACGATGAAGATCCAATATTTCAGATCATAATCAATTTTGGTCTTCAATTCCTTAACTCCAAAATTCATAAGCAATTTATAGCCAAGAATATAGCAAACGAAGAGTTGCTAAGTCTGGATGCGGTGCCGCTTCATGTCGGCGGCAGAAACACTAGTTATCAGAGAATACCAGCTCTGGTTAAAAGTGGCACATGTTTACCACATCTCAATATATCCAGAAGTGAATGGAATTTGTTTATTAACACTAATATCAAGTGTATAGAAGAGGGGAGACGTGAGAGTGGGGGTCAACCTATCGATGCGTATCTTAAGACTTGCAAAACCCGAATCAAAACCCAACCAAAATCTAAACAAAACCAAATCAAAACCAAATTTTTTTAATCAGTGATACACAATGATTTTTAAATTAATTAATATTTAAATTTTATAATATATTCAATAATTCAATATTCAAATAATTTTTATTTAAATTATAACATTTTAAAATTTCCCAAAATGATTTTAACGATAATTTGTTAATTACAGCTATGATTTATTAAGCGTAATACACAGAAGGCTGAAGTGAAATTATTAATTAAATAAAATGAGTTTTACACTGATGAAAAATTGCTATTGATTTCGTAAAATATAATGTCAAAAATTTCAATCAAGCTAAATTATTAGGGTGACCACCAAAAATCCTTATAAAAAAGAACGACTGATCAAAAATAGTCATTAAAAAAGGACATAAAAAGGACGCAAAAAATTATAATTTTTTTGCTTTATTCCGTTGTTTTGTTACACATTTTAAATGAGTATTCAAATGAAAACACTTTTAACAAACAAATAAATGACATCGTTTAGGCCAAAGGGATTACAAATATATTCTTTACTTTTTATAATAGTTTTCTGTTAACAAATACAACATTTTTATTATAGATTTCTACTCTATTGTTCTTATTTACTGTTTGTGTGCTGTAATGTCATAACTTTACAGCTTTGTAGCGCTACAGTGCATAGAATTCAATGAGATTTCCCATATTTTAAAACAAATTAACTTTTTTATATTGAATTTAATCAAATTTAAAAAAGGACAAAGTATAGTCCTTTCCGACCACTCGAAAGGACGCTGTTCTGAGAGGTCGAAAAAAGAACAAAACCCATAAAAAAGGACGTTCTGGTCACCCTATAAATTATACCCTAATCATTGTGATGAACTTGGTCAGAAATTCAAAAATTAGAAAAAATTATTTTTCAACAAAATTACAAATTATATTTAATAACGGTATTAAACTAAACAATAACGGTATTTATTATCTTAAATATATAAATGTTAATAAATATATTTAAAATGTTTTATTATGTTTTAATATACAGTATCAATATAGCAATAAATCAATCTCTATATTGAATGCCAACGATTATAGATTTAACACTTTTTAGGGCAGGATTTTTAAGTAAAATTAATGGAATATCTGTTCGCGGACTTCGGGTCAACTGAACCCTCCGTATAATACGAGCCAAACCTAACTTCGCTTCCATTAATGCAAACCTCATTCCAATGCAATTGCGAGGACCGGAACCGAAGGGCAGATAAGTGTAGGGAATTATTTTGTGACGGTTTTCGGGTAGAAAGCGGTCGGGAATAAACATTTCGGGGTTTGGATAATATTCTCGCGAGTGATGGATAGCATAAACAGGTATTTCCAAGGCTTGTCCCTTATATACAGTAATCCCAGTGCTTCCCAACCGGTAATCTTCGGCCGCATATCTGCCTATTATAACGAGAGGTGTGTGGAGTCTAAGCGTCTCAGCAATGACTGCGTCCAAAAGCGGGAGTTTTGTCAACACTTCGTGACCAATCTCTCCGTTTGTGTCCATCGAAGACATCACTTCTTCGTATAGTTTTTGCTGAACGTCTGGATTGAGTGCCAATTCATAGGAACAGAAGGCGAGTGTAGTCGCTGTGGTCTCATATCCGGCTAAAAGTACAATAAACATCTGCGCTATCATCTCATCCTCTGTTATGAATTTGTTCGATGGCTTTATATTCAGTATTTTGTTTGTGATTTCTAATTCCTCTTCACCTAAAATATAAGTATTAAATATCAATATACAGTATAAATATTAAATATTTTTATGTTTTATATAAATATACAAATTTTAATAATTATATTTGTAAAGCAAACCTTCATTGATGTGATGAGACTCGTGTCCATCGCTCTCATCATTAATGTTATCCTTTCCTTCCTTTGCTCTCATCATGAGATCAATCAAATCATTGGATTTTGCCTCTGATTTCTCCCTAACTCTTAATATTTGTCGTAAAATTGTAGAGAAAAACTCGACTGACTTTTCATTCAATAATGTTTTGAATTTTAATATATTTAACACAAACTGAGGCAACAAAAGCATCGAAATTAATTTCAAAACCGACAATTTAAGCACATTTCTCTCATTCACTACAAATGCATTGTTTGGGTTTTTAAAAGCGTTGGTTTTTGTAGCGAAAGCGCAGTTTGCGATCACATCCATAGTTAGACAGCCGTACAGCTCCTTAACATTGACTTCTTGTTTGTCGTTCACGTATTCAATTATAGATTGTTTGAGTGTATGTTTGTTTAAAATGTATAAAACATTTTAATTATAATAATATTAAATTATTTGCTTTTATAAAAATAACAACATGTCAATATTTGTGTTTAATATCGTATAAGAGGTCTAACATTAGAGTCTACAGCTAATAATACTTTTAATTATTAAAATTCATATATGCTTTATAAACTACAAAAATATATATTGAATAATAATTATAAATACTTTATAATTGATCAAGTAATGAAGTTTAGTAAAGACTTAAATATTTAAAATATAATTATTATTAATATTACAAAATAACAAGACAATACAATAACTTATTTATACAGTGCAACTTCTCTTGGGTGAACTTCTCTTGGATGAACACCTCCTTTGAATGAACGGTTTTAAAATATATTTTGGATTTTCTATACCTATAACAGAACCTCCCGCTGGATGAACCCTTCCTATAATAAACACTTTTGTAGTGCAACTGGCCGTTCATTATAGAGAAGTTGCACTGTATTACAATTATACAATCATATAAGGGGTATCACCGGCTCCGGATCTATACCTAGGACAATTGGCGGACCAATAAACATTTCCTTTAATAAAGTATATCATTTGATGCACATACTCTGTCAGCTCAGGTATGCCGTACTCTACGAGTTGTGAGCCGTAGTTAATACACGCGAACCATAAACCGTGCTCCTCGGCCACCATCTGGTCGATGGCCTGTTGACAGTCCCAGTGTTCGTAAACCATTAACAAATACAGGTAACCATATATACCCTCATCTTTTGATACCTCTGACTTGAATGAATAGATGTCGTTCGCGAGTGCCGTATGTTTTCCGATCGCAGTATTAAACGCCAGGAACAGAGGGTTAGCGGGCATGTCGTGCGATAAGGTATCCAAATCACAGCATCGCTCTATGAATATGCTGATCATGTTCATACCAATGTCTCGCTCCCTAGTGCAAACCGTACAAGATCATTTAGTGTGTTTAATCTCTCTCTCTCTCTCTCTCTCTCTCTCTC